CCCCTGACATTCTGTGATTCTGTGAATATGCCTTTGGCTGACCAGTCCATGGAAATGGTGGACTTCAAGACCAGCAGATGTGAAAAACTGTGTAGTCCAGTGTCCTGCCTGTCGCTGGACCCATCTGCACTGCAGCACATGCAGATTACTGTAAACTGCCAAGCAAGCGCCAACATTTGCTCCTCAGCTCAGCTCCCAGGTGCAGCAAGGACAGAGCACAGAGCTGCTGGGGACTCTGGGGGATGCAAATTGCCCCTTCTTGGGAGACTGGGTCCTGACACGGAGCCCAGTGACCCACAGCACCATGAGCTACTAACTCAAATCAAAACATGGGGTGATGGCTGGGGTGGGGAAAGGGTTAACAAGAAATTCTGAAGTGTCAGTAAAAGCCTCATTTTTAAAAGCTGAAGAAATTTTCCTCACTCTTCAGATCCCTGCAGAGAAGGCAGGAAGAAAGCAGACAAAGAGAGATGAGCCAAAAAAAAAAAAAAAAGTAAGGGCAGAATAACCTTATTTTTAAGAAAGTTTGAGAAACGCCGTTTGACAAGGAAGGAGAGACACCACACTACGTGTGGCATAAAACTCTCTACCAGCAAGGTTTCACTGCATTGCCTGTAGCTGCATTTAAGATCTGAGTGCAAGGGTTTGTAACCCTTCCAGTACTACAGTCAATACTGAACAGAAAAAAAGCACTATTTTAACTAGGTGGCTGTCCTACCTGACGAATTTGTCCTTAGGAGCCTATAGTGACAGACACCCTCTCCAAATGCAACACTGCAAAACCTAGAGACAGTGCTCTCACCTACACCACTTGAACTGAAGACAGCAGATAAACATAGGACTGATGAAAAAGTGACAAGGGAACAAAAGGGAAGATCTGCCTGAAAATGTGGCTGGTTTTATAATCATTCCAAGCCTATTATAAGATAAACACAAACCTCCACAATAGCAAAGAGAGTAAGACAACAAAGAATGGAATTGCTCTTCAGCAGAGCTATTGAGAGACCCCAAGGTAAACAATAGCAAAGAGCACAGATCAGCCAAACTCTAAATCTCACAGCAAGTGTCCTGATACTCTGACTTTCAAAGGACCTTCTCAACATTTAATAGCTCTTCCCACTGTCTCACAGCCAACAGAAACAATACTACGTTTTATCTATCCCTTTTCCATACCTACATGCCAGAAGTCCAGCGAGAGCAGCAGAGAGAAAGTGCCAAGCTCTGGGAAATTTTCACAACTGTTTTATAAAGGCTGCTTGATAGACGTAAGTCTCCTCTTAAGATCTGGAGACATTCTGTGCAGGCAGCTTTCCCAGAGAGAACAAATCTCCCCAGTATCTCTACTGAATGTACAAACAGATGGGTAGATTTTCTGGCAGGGAGCTGAAAATAACTGTAGATGCTGCTTATACTAAGCATTTAGGTAATGTGGAGGAAACTACCACCTAGACTCCAAGCCGGCAACAGGAGAGGACAAAAGCTTTCTTCCTGTAACTGTTAAAAGTACCACCAAGGGAACCCCTCTTGTACAGCTTGTTCAAATGGAACATTTTCTTCTTCTGGTCCATTTAACTGTTTATTTTTTTTCTTACAAGGCATATGCAACCCAACTTCACTAATGGGTTTCATGAAAGCCAAATTAATAGATGGGAAAATGGAAGAAAAAGAACACGTGCCAGTTGCCAAGGATAATCTGATCCTATTTATGACACCATGTCTGCAAAACTACACAGACCAATGCAGTACAAAAAGAGCCTCTAGTTTCACTGGGAAGTTTAGTTCTCAGCAAAATGGAACTGGGCAACAATGGAAAGAAATGTGTTAAATGTTACAGTGTCCATTGTTAAGTGCTCTAAACATAGTAATAAATCCCCAACTGCTTTTAAGGCATCTGGGCCCATTTACACCAAGTGAATATGCCTTCAAGACAGAAGGGACTGTAAAACCCCAGAGAGCTGTCTCCATGCACTTAGTGTCAAACATCAGAGCTCTCCTTCCGATACTAGGAGAAGGATGAGAAAACTCCACCGAGTTCCTTGAAAACAGCCTAACTCCATATTGACAAAGCCTGCAGAACTTGACTGGAAGGCAGCCACTTGCTTCTGCATGCCTCCAGGCTGCATAAAAGTCAGGAAGAAATGAGTGACCATGAGCTATGTGGGCACTCCAGGTCCTCCCCATGCCACAGCCCTCAAAGAACATAGCTGGTGATCCGAGGCTGACTTCAGCAAGTAACAGCTCTGATTCCCCACGGGCAGGTTCTGCTCATGCACACGTTTTAACTAGCTGAGATAGAGCACGTAGTGTGTCACTGGAGCAAGCGAGACAGATGCTCTCCTGCTCAAGGCTTCAGCATCGCAGGTCTCTGCCACCTGGGAACTCCTGCAGGCAGTCACACATTTCACACCCATGCTTTTGGCTAACGGATTCACCGGAGAACTCTATTCAACCAAAGAAACCTGCATGTCCTAATCTCAGCAGCATAAACAGGATGGCTCATTTTTTTTCAGTCAAGTTGTTTTTTCTTTCAGATAGCGAAAAGATTGCTGCATTGAAATTTCCAGGAAGACTTTTGCTGGCTGAAGTCAGTACTCAAGAGAAAGATGTATGGGCAGAATGACAGAGGTAACAACAACCTGGGGCTGAGTGGCACGTGCCCTCAGAACAACACCTGATAAAGAGAGACAGCAGAAACCTCGAAGGCTCCCTTGAAAAGCCAAATGCTATTTTCTCTCAAACTGTTTCCTCCCGAGAGGGCCAAACACTCACTGTCGCCTTGCCCTGACTGCAACTTAAGCGTGGAATGACTGTTACGTTCAGTGAGGCATTCTCCATTCCCTCTTCCCCAGTTCTACCACTGTAAAGCGAGTCATATAAAATTCACGTTCTTGTGCGTCCCTGTTCATTAGCCTGACAACAACACCCATCAGCTTGTCAATGGGAAACCTGGGGTTTTACCTCTGAAAGGAATGGTAGGAGGTGAATACTTACGTGAGGAAAGGAATTTTCTCTTGTCTTTGCTCCTAGGATTGCTTTGGCACTTTATTAAACAGGCATTTAATTTAAAAAACAAGTTGAAGATGATGATGGGACTACCAGCTAAAAGAGGACTGAGGAACTGTCCTGAGCATTGCGGTTTTATTAATCTCACTTTCAAGAGGAAGAAAGAAGATGGAGGCTTTACTTTCTCTGTAGTAACTAAGATCGTTTAGTATAAAGTTGTTGAGCTACTGTTTTTTCCTTTCTCATTCACGTGGATGAAAACAAATTAAGCATGCTAACGGTGACATGCATCTGATAAAGAACAATATGCCGTATAGCATATTACTCCTGTTATTAAGCCAGGATGTCTAAGTCTACTTATTGAATTTATTATAGAGATGCACAGCTCAGTTTTGGATACATAGCTTTATTCTCTGCTATAAATAGTCACATTGAGCAGAAAAGAAATTAAAAGGAGCAGGGACTGCGTTTAGCTTGTTTTTGTGAAGCATCCAGGGCATTTACAGGTATTCCAGTGAACAGGCTACATTTTGTAGTGTAAGGTTTGAGAACCTCCTTGTAACTGACCAGAAAAGCCCTAATATTCTGAAAACTGTGTTTGTAAAAATAACATAATGAATTCCAAAACTGCTTCATTGACTCCAGAGAAAGCACGCTCCATTTAAAAGTGTCTTTCTTCTAGAAATCACTTCTGTAAAACTCCACTGCTGCTTCCCTCTCCCCCCCCTTTTTTTTCTTTAATATGATTATTGGTAATATTTCTGCAAGCCAGTCTGAGGAAAAAAAAAAAAAAGTATTTAAAAGTCTGACTCTACTTTACAAGATTTAACTCTTGGGGATAATGAATACTTATACAGTAATAATACTACAGCAACAAAACCTTTTAAAACAACTACATCACTACTTCTACAGCCCCTCACAAGCAAAGCCAGCTGTGTGAGACTGCTGCAGTCAGGGCCAAACGTGATTTTTTTAATAAGGTGAACACCTGCCCATTAAGACTAAAATGGAAACAAAAAATCCTTACTTCATACCAGCTACCCACAGCTATCAATCGGTAGTAACAATTAGATTTTAAACAGAGCCAGAGACAAACCAGCAACCTAGAATAGAAGGCTCTTTAAGGATATTAAATATTACTCACGGTGAATACTTCAACATCTTTCCTACTTCTTATTTCTTCAACAAGATCCAGTGGCTTTCCCTTAGGTATGGGAATAGTTCCAAGCACTACAGTCCCTGAGCCAGTCAGTGTTTGACGAACAGCTTGAATAAAAGCCTGGCTGAAGAGTTCCATTTTACCAATTTCATCTATGACACAGATTTTTTTCTCTGCATCACTGCCATGGTTTACCTGTGGAAAAGTGCATGACGAGACTGTAAACAGCACAGAACAAACAACAAAACTAATTTATATGCTAATGAAAGAAAATCCTCCAAAAGAAATCAAGTCAATTGTAATATCGAGGAAAGTGCCAGGGTCAAAGCTGCTTCTGGTAACTCACAGACTCACAAATCTATCATTTCTATTTTAGCACAGAGTTTTGGAAAGATAAAAATATATGCAGAGCATACATACAGACGATTATAGGAAATATCCATAATACCAGTTTTCCTTCAAAGCAGAATTCTCACAGTGGTCCCATACAAGCTATCTGAGAATCAAGAACTGGACTTTGCCTGCTACCAGCTCTCAATCAATGAGGGCCACCAATTCTTCAAAACTTCACTCTTCCTATCAAATTATGCATTTAGAAGTGATCAATGTCCACATCAGCATTAAAAAAAAAAGAATTGCATTAGATCTAGATTTGGAAGTTTCTCCTCTTGTAGCTTAGTCAAAGGGCAGGATCAAAACTAGCGTTTCTCTCAGAACAACTAGCTTTTGTGAAAGCCACCTGGGTGACAACCAAGCTGTTTCCAAGCCCCTCTCACATCAGAACAGACACCTGCTGCTTCTTTGTCAAAATACAGCTTATTCCCTCATCGTAGCCCTGCCCCTAGATTGTAGGGTAAGTGTCACACTAACAATTAACCGCATTTGTGGTTTGAGGTTTTTTTCCTGAAGCAAATACTCTGCCAAACAGTATCATGCTGCAGACTAGTGCGAGCAGCAGCGAAGCCCAGGAGAGAAAATGGGTGATTGCCACAGGGGAAAAGGCAACTTGGAAGGCAGAGGAACTACTCAACAGAAAAGGAAGTGCGTTGCCTACCCTCTCTTGATAATGGAGTACAGTTCTCAGTTACTTTTATTTATAGAAGTGAGAAGGAAATCAACTCATGTCAAAACACCACTGTAGATCCAATAACATATACTAATAGCAGCCATATTATACAGAACCTAAAAAAGAAAAAAAGAAATGTTTTCCCTTGTGAAGGTAAAATATTTGCTTCTGCAAAAGTGGAAGAACTGTATGACATGCATCTTAAAATCTTTGTATGCCAAGTCCCTGATGAGTAGCTGTTTTATCTAAAATCCTTTCATAGATCAGTGAGCTAAAAAGCCAATACTAGTCACCAGGTCACACATTGAGAAACGGGACATTTTGCTTTGAAAAAATTTCTCTGTCCTGCCTGGTAACATTGCCAGAACGAGAGAGATCATCCATTGTAGCATATACCTCTGTTTTCACTGGACCGAACAAGATCCAAGCCTGAAGAGGTGAAGCTGTCCTCCAGACTAAATGGGCACATGCCCACTCTGTGCTGCAATCTGGTCACACCAGGCTCTCCTGTCTTCATTCATCACTTGTCTCCTCTTGTGTCAGGAGGAGGCGAGGACCTTCCTCGCCTCCTCCTCTCCTGTCTTGTGCCACCTACATGCACGACCATGATCTCACACAATTATTAACAGTGCTTTCGACGAGAACAGGGTCATGCACTGTCTGACCCTGCTGGCCCCTCTTCCTCTTCCTTTCACTCTCTCATACTTGCAGAAAGCTCTACAACAATCAGGAAAAGCCAACACTGCCAACATCCTTCTAGCAAGATCTCTCCTGGACTTCACATTAATGCAGCACTAAAAGGATTCTGACTACAGTGCTGGCTTGATCAAGTCTTTTTTATTAAACTCTCCTTCTATTTACAAACAAGTAAATCAAATTACAGTGAAATTAAATATTTGTCCCATTTAATTCCTATTTTCTTTCTCCTTTGCTTCTAACGTCTTTGTTTTCCTGCTCTTAGACTTAAATGTTCCTTGACAAAACCAAAAATCAGAATCTCAATCTCATTTTTGCTCCTTGCACCTCTTTGGGGTTTTTTTTGTTCTACTAAAGTTCATTAAGAAGTCCCTTCTTTCTTGGTCCTTCGAGCACTGGCAGTGTAGAAAAATCACAATAGGATTATTTTAGTAGTACAGCAGCTGCTGCACACTGTTTGTGCTATGTTATTGACAAAATTAGATTTGTTCTTCTTTAATTTTGGAAAGGGGAAAGGTTGGAGTGAGAGAGAGGAAGTAAAGGAAAAAGGCAGTAACAGAATGTTAGAAGAAGGATAGGAAAAAGACTGTGTGGAAAGTGTGTCACAGCAGGAGCACTCCTTGTGCAGAAGACTAAATCGCAAATTCTCAGGCTGCTATTTCAATTATCAATTAAGGCCTACCAGTCTGCAGGTACTTACACAGCAGTAATCAAAATAACCTCTGGATTAAGAAAACAAATGCTTCTACTGAAAGAGTGAAATCAGAAAATGAAGCCTGTAAAGAAGACAAGCGGCAAAACCCTTTTTCTTGGAACCACTGACTCCACCCAGCTCTACATGGTAAGCCATTTGTACATTTTGTTTGCTTTCCAATATGTAAGACAGTGGCTTAGGAAGAAACTTTCTACTGTCTGTTTCTCAAGCCAAGGAAGTCCTGCTCACAGGATGAAGAATCAGAGTCTAATCTCTCCAACCCCACAATAAGCACAAGAGAACAAGGCAGTTTCCCCTCCAGCTTCCTCATCCTGAAGTGAATCAGAATCAGTGAGGGCCAAAAAGCAGGCCACATATCAATATCAAAAACTAGTGCTCTAGAAGGGCTTTCAATAATGCTGATTATCATAAAGCATCCACTTTTTCAGCAGTTTTCATGGAATACTCACATTTCTCAGCATAGGTAGAACCAACTGCTCAAATGAAACAAGGTCTACAACGTACTGTCCAACTCGATATTCCCGTCTTGAAGTAGAAGAATCAGAACTGGATGTGAAAGAGAGATACACAATTCCTTCTAAGTCATGACTTCAGTAAGAATACACTGCTGACATTTCAAGTGGATTTCTGATTCTGAGAAGTTAATCCTAATACGTCAAATTCCCTTAATGCTTCTAAGAAAAGGAAAGCAACTCTGTAAACCGTTCATTAAGTCACACAGCAGATAGCATACTATCAGATAATAAATATACCATAAGCTACCTTCACAGCTGTATAAGCTCAATTTTGAACAGCATAGTGAAGGGCAATATGATTGAAAAACAAGCAAGTGTATGTACACTGAAATCAAAATACATGCCTGAAGTTCAGATCTTTGAATTTGGTGATGTGACACTATGGGCAGCATCACAGGAGTAGCCTAAATCTCAGCACAGGCTGCAAAATGCTTAAACAACCTTGGGAAAATATTCAGTTTGCATGTGCTGCATCACACTATTCCAGGTGAACCTCCTTTATTAGCAGTATGTGAACTATCTAGTCAGATCAACCACATCTGAATGAGGTGCTAACATCACACTTGGACCTAGACTAAGTTTTTGCACCAAGCATGAAAAGCAAGTCTAGTGAATCAGGAGAGACTGTGAATCCCCCTGCACTTCGGAGGCGCCTCTCTTAGTGTGACTCTGAAACATAGCATCAGACTGGAGCAGAAGCATAAAACAATAAGCCACTTACAGTTCTTAAAACCTCAGTACCTGACTCTAGACAAAGGTCCTCGTTTTCCAGACAAAGTGACAACATCAAATCCTGTTCTCCTGCCACCATCTCTAACCTCCTCTGTGTAAAATCCATCAATGGGAACGCCTGAGGACTTTAGAGCCTGAGTGACTTTCTGGATCAAAGTAGTCTTTCCAACCCCTAAAAATAAAGACAAAATAAAAAGCACACAGGATTAATCTTCTTCTCTGCTAAAAGACCATTTTTAAACACCACAGTAATGATTCAGTTTAGCAGGAACATTGATTACTATTTAAGTTTGGAGGTTATTTTTATTTTCAAATCTTAGGAAAAACCAGAAACACCTTTCAAAGTTCATCTTGTGCTAACATTGTGATGGTTTATGAGCCATTTAGAAGTATGTCTACAGTGAAGTCACAACACAATGGTAAATACTTCCCATGCTATCACTAAACTTAGACAGCTTAGACTGCAGCCTGCCCATGCACTGAGCTTGCCCCAGGGCTGGTAAATACACAAGAGCCACATTGTTACACGACTGGTACCTGAGCTAGATGGAAGACTGACTGATGAATCAGCTTTTCTACCATCACTATTAACTACTTTTTAAGAACAGAACTGAGTTCATCTTCTTTATGTTAAATCATAAGGTCAAACCTGACTGCTATTACCAGGAGCCTAACTGGCACAAAGGACACCCAATTTCTAGCACATCAACAGAAGTAACAAGTGCTAAGTGCTCCTGAGATACCAGGTCCCACATGGCAAAAAGTATTTCCAACAACAGAAACATGCCTCTTATGATTATTGAAACAAGAGAGGTTTTGACTAGATACAGGAAAAAGCTTTTTTTATCAGTAGGACAATCAAGCCAGGGATCAGGTTGCACAGAGAGGCAATGCAGTCTTCACATCCTTTGAGGTTTTCAAGACTTGACTGGACAATACCTTGAGCAACCTGGTCTGGCCTCATATGTGACTCTTCTTTACACCTCCTAAAGTTCCTTCTCACATGAATTATCCTGTGGTCCTAAAATCCATTTTCTTACCCTAAGGTAGACCCTTAAAACCCTCACCCCCTGATGTCTCCTAGCACAGTTTGATGGAAACACTGGCCATGTTCCAGGCATCATCTCAGTTCCCCAAAAGAAGCTATTTCTTCTCCTTTGCCATTGTACAAGTACATCCCTTGACAATCTCCTTACAAATTCCATTTTATTGCCTCTCACAAAATTTAGTGATCACACTGCATTTTTAATCACTGCCAAAAAAAATCAGAAGACAGAAAATATCCTGCAGAAAAAGCCTTCAAATTCCTGGAGACAAGGAATATACACAAAATTTGAGGTGCATAAAGATGCCAGCAGAAATCATTTCAACATGCACGTATGAAACCCCTTCCTTAGATTTTAAACAGATTCAGCAACTACCTTCTTAACAGTCAATATCAATGGCAAAACATTCTGTGGCTTCAAGAGCGCTTAGTCAAACCATTATACAAACTTTTCAAAATTGAAGCCAAAGGGTTTCCTGGCATTTGAACAACTAATGTCAAACGTGGTGCCTTCAGCCTTTACCATCTTTCCGAGGCCTTGTCTCTCTAAGTGAATTTAATTAAATTAATTTGGCTAAGTAGATTTTCTATCTCTAATTTGGTTGCCTTCATTAAGTAAATTGCCAAATAAAGCTAATACGACTCAGTTAAACTAAGTTTAGTTTAAAGTTATGCATTTAGCTAATCAAAAAAATGACACACAACTTCAGTGACGTGAACAGTGGCCAGGCCTAAGCAGCCTAATCTCTGTGTCTGCTGGAGGGCTGCCTTTATTCGAGCGGATGAAAATGCAGAATGAAGCGAGTGGAAGGTTCTGCTACCTCAGCCAGGCAGTAACCGCTAAGACAAGCAGCCACAACAGGCTCACAAAAAGGAGAATTAGGCCCACTGCTTTACTGCTACACCACAAAAGAAAGCTTAATAATAACTTCACCAACCTTGCAGCTCGACCCTCACACTATAGCCCATTATACCTCCACAATAATCAGATTCCCCTAGCTTGATAAACTACTCCACCGCTTCAATCAGAGCCTGCCCATCTGGGATACCAATTAGTACCCTATAATGAACATTACTTAGGTTGGAAGTGCTAAATCATTACAATCAAGTTACAGAAGAGACGGATGCTCAGAAACCACTAATGGCTGCAGTTCAGCTGAAGCAGGATGGGCTGCCCAGGGTTGGCTTTTATTCCCCCAACACTCAACTAAAGCAGCAGCTTCCAGAAACGCGGGACTGGCCCGAGAGCGGTAACAGGTTTGGATGAGGAACAAATTACTGAGCGCGGCAGCTCCGACCGCAACAAGGCGACACCCGGCCTGGGGGGGCGGCCCCAGGCCTGCACGCCGGCCTT